GAGACCAAAGCTGTTTAACAAAAAGAAAAGTGGAAGGTAGAATTAATCCTCCTCCCCTCCAAAACAAAAACAAAAAATAGATATTGGCCTAAAATATTCCAAGTCCAGCTCTTTATTTAGAGCATGGAGGTGTGGTGGGTTTAGGCTGAAACAAAGGGAGGTTTTCTGGTGGAATTTAATAAAATTCCTGTTCATGGATGGACTGAAAATAAACAGAAGATATTCCTTTCTCCAGAAAACCAAGTAGGAATTGCAAAAAACGATGAGAAAGACACGCAGGGTTCTTCTCCCACCTCTGCTACCTGGAGCGAGCAGCCCTCTGCGTGAAGACTTTATAGCCCCTGTGATAACATTTACTTTATACGTATGTCATAATTGCTGTAATTTTCATTGTGATTAACCACAGAAAGCATATTTTAAAAATAGCTAATAAGGAAAGTTAAATGAACTTTTTTTTTTTTCTCTGAAGATTGCTGTGAAACCTGGGAGAACTCAGAGCTTATTCAGAAGCGCTGCGAAACGCCTGCTGCCTCGCTGCGGAGGAAATGGCTCTGCCTCCCGCAGCAGTGGGCATGCCAGGGCAGAGTCACGCCAGGCTGGGACCTGACCTTTTCAGGAGCTGCGTGGAGCCCTAGTCCTGGGCAAGGATTCAGGCACATTTCCGTAACGTGCAATTCACTGAGCCAGACACCAATTTGCTGTCATTACACGCAGTTCCTTTGGTTCAAAGACAACTCACATTAGTTCCCATTACAGCCTCTGCCTCTAAAACACAAAGCAAAAGCAAGAACAGAGCTGCGAGCAGCACCTCAAAGGACAGCACAGCCCGAGCGGTGCAAGCAGCAGGAAGCACGCCTGCACCGAGCTGAGCCCGGGCCAGTGCCAGGTTCCAGGAGCACCTGCTGGGAGCCCATGGGTGCCCCAGGACAGCCGCCTACAGGAGGGGACCAGGGAGCCACGGTGGGACCATGGCACCGAGCATCGCCTCGCAGGCCCAGCTGGGAGCAGGCTGCAGAGGGGGAAGGGGCTTCCTCCTGCACGCATCCCCCGCTACGGCTGCTGTTGCTTTTGTGCGCTTGGAGGATGCAGATAAGAAGGGCATCGAATTTGAATGTTATGCTAATAGGAACATCTGTGTGCTTAAATCAGTGCTGAGCAGCTGGTACATTTAAAACAGCCCCCAGCATGTCTAAACACTCTGTAAATACAGAGTTAATATCTCCTGAGATCAATTTATCATTAATAAGTTATAAAACCAGGATCTGATGCACACTGAAATAAAAATAGAGTGAAAAAAGACTGTTCTTTGTTTCCATTTTTCTCTGCTAAAATTCAGTAATGTTTCTTGTGTGACCAAATCTATTCAGAGAAAGCAATTATTATAGGTAAGATGTATTAGGCTGTAGTCCAAGCAATAGCTTTAAATATATTTTCCAATATATTTTGTCCTAGGTTGGGCATATTAGGGCTTGATTATAATTCATATAGCAACAATTTTCACGATTGAAAATGTGTATTAAAAATTGGCAGTCGCTGATGTTTTAATAAGGATTGAACTAAAGATTTCAGTAAGTATCCATTTCAGTTCTGGGCAACTATTACCATCCATCAGTAGATGTCATTCCGATTAGAAATCATTGTTAATGATTACAGAGAATAGATTAAAATTGAACCTAAGTGCTTTCTGAATGTGTGGTTCATCCCCACCACAACGAGCTGCAGGAGGACACACACCCAGCATGGTAATGTCCCCACGGCTTGCAGAAGAGAAGAGCGGCTTCGCATTGAAGCCAGGGCTCACAGGCACGGAACAGCTGAGGTTGGAAGGGATGTCTGGAAGTTGTCTACACCAGCCCCTGCTCAAGGATTATTATCCTTATATAAAATGTATAAAAGGAGCACTAGGTTAGCGTTAGAGAAGGCCAGGAAAATCTGTGCCTTTTGTTCAGACAGAAGTAATGGTAGCTCTGCACATGAGACCACAAAGCACTAACAATCGCCCAGGGCCAAGGGCTGCTCTGGTGCCAGCTCCAGGCTGGGCTCCGGAAAGCATCAGGATTTACTTTGAAGATTCCACCTACTAAGTCATAAAAATTAATAATAGTAACTCTGATGAAACTGGATAACTTTCCCTTTCTTGATCTCATAACCTGCTTCAGGCATGTATATACTGTATAGGCATCAGGCATATATGTTCTGTACTCCAGTTCTTAAGCCTCCTGCATCCACAAACTGGTGACTCCATCAAATGTATTTTATGCAGTCCGTAAGCTCAGGGAAACTGCATAATTTGGAGGTACCAGCCAGGTTGTGCAAGTGGCATTTTGATCAATATTATGTGCATCTGTAAAACTACGATACCCCTCTGCTTATTTGCAGTTTGGATTTTTTTTTTTTCTCCCATCCCTCTTTTTCCTGGAACACTTTTATCTCACTCCAGTAATTACCAGCAAAATCCCAAACAGTAAAGTACACGAGTAAACCTTATCAGCTGTGTTACAGCCAGCATTCCTCTCCACTCTCATTTGGGTCACATCTTGAAAGATGAGCACTACTCTCACAGCCAAAGGTAGTCACAGGTATCGCCATCTCACAGGGTCTTGTGCACTGCAGGGACGTACCTGGAGAGGGGTTCCCAGGGAGGGGACAGTACTTTGCAGCCTGGGGTTTTATTGTGGTTCTAAGCTCTGTACCCATGATCTTCTGCTGTACAAGACAAATACAGATAATTTGTAATTTTCTCTAGCTCCACCATGTTTGGAACAGGAGAACTGATAAATAAAATATGCCAAAGCACACTAGGTTGGTGTATGATCTTAAATCTTCTCACACTAGAAGTTCCAGGTGATACCCCAAAACCTCCAAAGCATTCAGATCAGTTGTGCCACAAAATGCCAAAGTCCTGCCAGCGCTGATTTTCTGAAATAGCTACGCAGCTACTAAAGCTCCACTTAGTCTACAAGGCACAAAAGCTCTTTAGTGGGGCAGTACAAACCCACTGTTATTGGTATGATTTATATTTTCCCACTCACCTGCACTGCATGAATAACATCACCACCTGGCAGAAGTTCCTGTAAACAACGAGGAAGTGGTCCTGGGCTGAGCAATTTTCTCTGGGCAACTGATTTGATTAATTTTCTGGAGAGTGCCGTCCTGCCAGCTGGCCTGGCTGGGGAAATGTTAAGAAGTTTGTTTGCCTGGTTACCTCTTCCCGGGGGCCTCGTTGGGATTACGACTAATTGAAGTTTCTAGGCTAATTTGTTTCTTAATATCCTTGTGTGAAATGGGGAAAGCTGCATTCAACTTACCATGGGCAAAAGGGGAGGAGGGTCCCCGTTTTGCAGTCTCAGAGCGGTACCGAACGGTGCTGCTGCTCCCTATTGCAGGAGGCCATCCCTCTTGCCTCCTCCCAGCACAGCCTCCAGTTAACCCAGTCCCTGACAAGAAGCACGGCTGCAAATCCATGAGCGCAGCCCTACACGCACCTTCTAATGATCCCATTTTTCCTCTGCCCAGGCTCCAGGAGTTCTTCCTGACACCGAGGGCCATAGGTGAGCAGCTCTGCACGATGCTTTGCGAACTTCACAGGGAAAATGAGCAGAATATGGAAAATGGTACATAACCGCTGGGTGAACGGAAGAGAACATTACCTCTTTGATAGGTACGGGCCCAGCCCTTCCCTTCAGCTTTCAGAGCATTCCTACAGGAGAGGTGAAACGAGGATGGAGGCTGGTGTGGTGAGACATCACAGCACGGGGCAGCTCCGCGGGATGTGGGCTGCGTGGGTCCTGGCTCCCATCCTTCCCTCCCAGCGTCCATCCCAGCTCTCCCTCTGCCGAAATGGTGCCACTTTGCAATCACTCTGAGAGCTGAATGTAAGAAATGTTATAGACAAACTGTGCACTAATTATCATCGCTGTTTTCTTTCAGATCACCTGGAAAGCAACCCTGAAGATGAGATAAATAAAAGCAGTGGTGCTGGCAAAGCCAAAGGGACACACTCATTAGAAATTTATCAAACACAGATGGGCTACCTGGGACTGGAAAATTTATGTTCTTCTGATGCTGTGGTCCAATAATTCCCTCCTTCCTGGCTCTTCTTATTGATTTTTCCACCAAAGGGGTAATTCCCACATCCCAATCAGCTCCTAACATCTGCTAGAGATGGCATTTGAACTTTCTTACCCCACCATCCATTTTGTGTTCTGCTCCAGCACTGTTGTGATACCGGAGCTGTTCTTATCTGCTCAATCTGTGTTAACCATAGCAGTCCTTTTCCTATTTCATCCTGCTCTTTTTTTAATTTGCTTAAGTTCATATGACTGTATATACAGCTGCCTCTTTCCTGCTAGTCTGCAGACAGCCAGATACAGTCTGCTGTATTATATTGTATGTGTTGTGATGCTTTGGGAATACCTACTCTGCCCTTATATGTGGGGTTTTTTATTAGGCCATTGATATATTTTTACAGATATAACATCCCAATACTTGTATATACTTGTATTGGGATGTCACAGTATCATCTTTCTTCCCCAAATACTTGGATGATACTCATTTTTCTCACCCAAATGTTCTGCTTCATGCTCTTTAGTCAGCAAGGTTTTGATTTTTCTGAAAGTCTTCATTAAAATTTTTTGAAGGATGTAACTAAGGTCTTTATAATAATTTTCACTCAAACCAATTCCTGATGCTTCTAATAAAAGCAAGAAAAAATAGTTCTATTTGTACAGGAAAAAATCTTATTTCTGCAGTTTGCTGGGAGAATAAATTGTGATTAAAAGAAACTTTCAGCTGTTATCCCTCATTTCATCCAGAATTGATGACAAATTCATTTTTTTAAGGTTTCCTTAATTACTGTAGAATGCAGAAGGGCTAAATTCTGACTTGCACCTTCTGACTTAGGTGCTTTTCAGGGCAGCAAAGGTTCGATCTTTCCTGTGCTCGGTGCAGTCGCCCCACGAGCGGCCGGCTGGCGGCAGATGGAGGCAGGCGTGGGAGGCCCGCGGGGCACGGCGCCAGCCTCGCCTCTGCCTGGGAAGCCAGGCTGCAACCTCACAGCAACCCTGCCCGAAAGCAAAGGGACCCTCCTACAGAAACCTCGTTAGCAGAAGAAGAAGAATCTCGATTCAAGCGTTTGAGTGTTTAATACTGTATTATTATTATTTCTCCTCGTTTGTGTTGTGTAATGGCCATTGGATGGGTCTGGAAAGAAGCACTTTGGTTCTGCATCGTTCTGGTTCTGTTCCTGCGTGGTTATGGGACCCTGCAGGAATACATTCCCCCAGTAACTACAGTACTGCTGATACACGGAAATAACAGGAAATCTTCAAAGAGCTCTGTGAGTGAGTGGTGGAGAAAGAAATGATTTCTAGCAAGCTGTAAATGTATAAATAAGTATGAGTAGTGCAATTATTTTTTCCAAGTGGTAAGCTAGTGAATTTCATGTCTATAAGCAAGCAAAATTTCTTGATGTATCAGGATACAATATACTGAAAATCTGTTGTGTATTAATTTGCAGTTAACATTTATTCTGTCTTCTTATCTATCAGCTAAGCAGCAGAGCATTAGCTTACGGTCTTCATTCTGTGCTTTTCTTTAATCATATTTGTAAGAGAGCTTTCCCAATGCTAAACTCCTGATAAAATAAACAGGCTATAATGATCATCAGGTACATGTCAAACAGAAGAGATTAACTGAAGTGACCGATTAAGACTGACTACAGTTAAAAGTTCTTTTTCTTTCTATACATCTCTGCTTTCTACAAGATGGATCTTACCTCCTTCACTTTACATGCTAGTCCTGCTGGAGATGCCTTGACAGCAGATGGGAACGAGTCCAAAGCCCCCAAACAGCAACCTTGCCCTTATCCCTTCTGTCCATAGGATATTTCTGGACTGCTTCTCAGTCATGTCTGGCTGAACTTGTTCCCACGCTCCTGGAGAAAGTCCAGGGCAGCCGAGAGCTCCTGAGGACAGCACTGATGGGCCGCTGCCACCTGAAGCACCCCCTGTGCCAGAGAGACAACGGTCACTCAAAAAACATCCTGTGTTCCACAACAGTTCTGCTTGACTGAAAGGCTTGACCCAAATAACGTAAGTTAACCAAACAAACAAGTGTTAGAATTTTCTTGAAGTATACAAAACAAACAAACAAACAATTTATAAAGGAATGCAACTTTTGGATAAGTAAGCAAGGATTTCTAGTAATATTTTTGTGAGATAAACGTAATTTTGGCTGACTTTAGGGCGTTTTTTCCTAAAGCTTTATACTTCAGGACTTATCTGCATATTATCTATGAGGAAATGTTTGGGGTTGAATTACTGACCATTTCATTATGTCTTGTACTTCCCAGCAGTCGGTTATGGCTCTGGACACTGACAACAGCCAACAGCCGTCATCTGCAATTACCTGGCTGGTTAGGCCTTGTGACAAAGAATGTGTAGTGGAAACAAAAACATTACATATGTAAATAACAGAGAGTCACTAACCCTCTTTAATTTATCTGCTCTAGGAAAATGCAGTACAGGCTGCACAGCAAGATAATGCTCCCTGCGCCAGAGCAGATAGTGCTGGATGGCAACTTGTCCTTTCTGAGAGAAACAAGGATGAACAAAAACCTAACATGTGAGTTATTTGAAAAATGTGAGTAAAATTGTCTTGATCTGAAAGGAAGTGGTGCTTTTCCAGCTTTCCCCAGTGGCATTTGGGATGCTTGCAATTCTTTTCTTCTGAGAAACCTTCAGCTTTGCCAGCTGCAACTCCATCATCTCTGCACTGCCACTGTTGTGGCACCTGCCTCCTGCACGTTAGATTCTTGGCAGAAAAGGCAAAACGCTGCTATTGTCACTGGTTGGTGCTTCCTTGTATTGTCACGTCGTAAGTGATCTAGAATTTTAAATTCTAGAACTGAAACACAAAAACTATGCAGTAAATACTGTTTTTGTATTTTGTTTTTGTTTGTTTGTTTGTTTGTTTTTTGTTGATGTTGCTGTTCTTTTCTTTCTTTTTCTTTTCACACAAGCAGATGAAATGAAACCTGCAAGATCACTTTGTTCTGCAGGACCCGCACAACTGCACAGCTTAAACACCGTCCAGGGCACAGAGCACACCTCCGAGCGGAGGGCAGGGGTGTCCCTCATGCCCCAGGGTGGCAGCAGTGACCGAGGGCAGGACCTGTGCTTCCCAGCCCGTTGAGGTGTTCTTCCAAGCGTCCTGTGCCACCTGTGGGTTTCCCTTGCCCCCCTTCTCTGCTGACCGCCTCCTCCAGCACCGAGCACAACCAGGGGCAGGAGTGTGCTCCCAGAGGGAGGGGGTCCCCCGAGCAGCACTGATTGCAATTCAGGAACATTTCACACGGCGCCCCAGGTTCTGCCATTTAGTGCTGAAATGCACAGCTCAACCTTCAGAAAGCAGGACTGAAGGTACAACACCATTTCTCGTCCTTTCACTCCCCTGTAGCCACTTACCACAATTTACTCACAATGGCACTTATTTAGTGCCATTAAAATACTTAAAATACTGTTTGTGTAAACTGGTGTCCTCAATCTCCAATTCAACTTCTAATCAACCAAATTACTGAAACAGGCAGCTCAGACTCATGCAGAAATGAATTTTCCATCCAATTTTAGCTATAAAATTGAGAGGCTATTTTCAGTCTTAATTAAAATCTATACAATAAAAGTACCCTTTTCCCACTGCAGGCAGCATCACTGTAAATAAAATAAGTGGATGCCCCTGCCTTTCCAGCACCACGCTGCACAGATCGATTCACATAAGCCAACTTAAGAGTAATTTAATTCACTCATCAGAATGGGAACAACCACCTCCCTGAAGCCGATTTGCCTCCTGATTGCAGCAAGGGGGGGGTGCAGCAGCTGCCTGCCAGGGCAGAGCCCCCGGTGCCCCCACCCAGACCAGCCCCAGCCCCCAGCGGTGGGCACAGGACCCTGGAGCATGAGCAACGCGGCTGCAGCTTCCCTGCAAGGGAACAGAACCAAATCCCTAACTTGGGGGAAGGCAGGAAAACAAAGCCAGAGAGAGAGGCAGAATCAATAGCTAAATACAAAACAGGTCAGATCATTAGTTTTAATATTTTATTCATCGACAAAAGATATTGACTTTCAGGGAGCTTCATTGATGTTCTGTAATATGCATTTAAAGAGCAGATGATGCCTTATGGAAATCTTTGGAGTGCATTAAAAAAAAAAAGAATGAAACCACCCATGACAGAAAATCTATTTTTGCCATCATTTTTTATCTGGAGGAGCATTCCCATCAAAATATGATGCATCAAAAGGCTGATCTCCTGTCTGAGCTCACAGTTTGTATACCTACTGAGCAATTTTATAGAATAACTGCAAATAACAGGTTTTTGTAGATTTATTGATCATTAAATAATTTAATCAAAAACTACATTAGTGCTACACAATTCACCTCAGGATAAAGATGATGATTTTACATTGTACAATATAGATTTTTGATAAAATCAGGAAAATGCCATTGCATATAAGAAATTTCATTCCACATTAAACTATGTAGTAGTGATCCTGAAACACCTACACAAGGAGGACTAGCTACTTAAATAAAATTATCTTGGTGCTTTAGTGGCTGTAGAACCCAAATCCTACTTTTTTTTTTTTTTGTAGAAATGGTATGAGAATTGTAGCTAAATTGCACAGGCAGACATTTATTTCTACTCGTATGCAACCGTTACAGTTCATCACATGAAACCAGAATGTAATATAACATTTCTTCCAATATCTCTTACTGTTTGTTTTCATTTGTAACACCAAAAGCTGAGTTCCACTGTCCATCAAAACACCTTTAGGAATGCTGATTTGGAAGAAAAATTCGTTTTGAATCAGGTCACTAGGGAACTAATATTCAAAACACTAAATTAATATAGTGACTGTCATTAGTATAATAGCCTTACTTACTTTGTAGAGGAAAGGTTAAACATTAAGAAAAAATGAATTAACATAGTGTTACCACTGGAAATTAACCATCGGATAGGTATGCTTTTATATTTGTGTAGATACAATTGTCCAAACTATTACGATTTGTCCAACTTTTTTCATTGTGAATGGTCAGAATGAATAGAACAATTAAGTTCAATTTACGTTCAATCTCGTTGTTCAGATCTCAGATAATGAACGATGTTATGTATAGCTTTCTAGTTATTGGTTAAACATCAGCGTTTAACTGGCAGACTCACATCTATTGCATACGCACACAGACATATGGCAGCGTGCAGTAAACGGACTGTGAATCAATTTAATATGGAATCGCGGTGAAATTTCTGCATATAAAGCAGAAAGCAATTATGAAACAGACAGGTGCTTTAAGAAACAAGTCAGCATTTAGAATGAATGCCCAACTGTCCACAATGAGGAAGTGCCTAATAAAGTACAACCTTAGCAACACTGCTGTGTATCAGGTCTTGGGCCGGCAGCTAATCCATTTCCAAAACGTGTCTATCGTATATTTTCATTGAGCATTTATTATTTTTATACCCACTGAAACTACTGAGATGTAGCTGCTTCTTCAGCTCAAACTGTGTAGAGCACAATAAATCACAGACAAGAAAACCTTCCTTGGCAGCAGCACAGTCCCTGGGATTTCCACAGGGCACCGCGCGGCGCCGTTGGCGTGCAGCAGGCTGCTGTGAGCACCCGCAGCGGGGCAGAGATAAGCGGGGCACACCTGGCCGCTGGGCAGAGCATGGTGCATCCTCCTTACAGGGCAAATGTGAGGATACGTGCCAAGGCCCATGTGGATATCAGCACTGAAAGGGATTTCTAAACTGTGCGGTGCTGCAAAAAGAGGACCTGCAGCCCTCGCCCTGGTGCTGACCTGACCTCCCCAGTACCCAGGATATTACATCAGAGGTCAGCGCAGGGCTTTTTGGAGAAAATCATGATTTATGACTTCTCACAGTGGACTAACAACAACTACAAAACCAAAATAACAGCCTGAGCCACTCACACACAACTTGAAGTATTATCTCACTGGCCTATTGATAAAGTTCAGTGCTACAAAAATCTTAAAGATTACTTCTACTGGAAATACTCTGTGCAAACAAAACCTTGGAAATTTGTAATTCCACCAGCGCACAGAACCAATAGTTTATCACCTGGCAATTATTTGCTGAGCCCTAACTCAGGGCCTTTTGACTCTGACCAGTTATTTTGTGTCTTGATGCAACTAAAATGCACAAAGTGTCAGCTGTAGGCTTGCTTGAAGGCTATAACAACGGCGTTAGTGTCTTTCCTTTAAACGAGGGAAGATAAAGATCAGTTACAGATCACACCATTTTCCTGACAGTCACAGATGCAGAGGGAGATGCACTGGGTCGGGCGGTCTGCCCGCTGCCAGAACACGACTTTTATAAGCAGAGTGGCTCTGCACTGAGGCAAGACCAAAACCACCTCCCCAAAGCCCTGTCAGTCTCTTGCAGAGCCCCCACGCATGGCAGAAAGGCAAACTGCCAGCCCTCGGCCCCGCAGCCAACCTTCAGCCCCTCGCCCCAGTTCCTGCAGGGCAGAAAGCTAAAGCAACATGACCAGTTCTGAAGGCAAGGCTGCTCCTGGAGTCAGGGCAAGCTTCACTCAATCTCTTTTTAAAATTATTATTATTTTTTATTCCACCCCCTCAAATGCTAGCACTGACATCAGGGAATTCTTTCCTGTCTTTTCAGGAAGCTGTGGGTCTATTCCTTGGTAGTGATGTGTGAAGAAATTTGATATGAAAGGAAATCTCTAAGTTCTGACATTAACAAATAGGAAAATCAATTTCATTAATGCAGAAGTCTTTTCCCCCCCTCAGTTTATCTAGGGGATAAATAAACACAGCAGAGGGGTGGTGTCTGGGGCTGCATTCATCTCCTGGTCCCTATGGCAGCCCCAGCAGAGCTCTGCCGTGGGTGCTAAGGGTGCACTGCGGTGAGATACTGCAGCAATGCCCAGCCCAGCAGCCCCTTCCCTGGGGCAGGCCGGGTGATCCTCACCGTGATGCTCACATCCTGCACTGGCTGTGGCTGTTACTGCTGCCTGCCTGAGGCCTTAGGGTGACAACATGATGCCACCATCAGTGTGACACCCTTGCTGCACACCCAAGGAGGAGGACAGCCCCTGCAAGGACGCAGCACCTAGCACACCTATCGCACGGTCACAGGAGCAGCTGGGCTTGCCTTCCTTCCCTTGCCTTCCCCAAGTCAGAAGTTTTTGCTGCACTTTTTCCCCTCTTCCAAAAAAAAATAAAAAAAGGAGTAACGATGGTCCACAGCAGTAATTAAATCATGTTTCTTCCATTTCTTTTCCAAAATATACATTTTACAAATAGGGCTTGACTTTTACTTAAATCTCCTAATATATTTCAGAGGAAGCTGTATAATTGTCTTCTACCCTGAAGTTACTCAGTGTTGGAAAATAAATGTTAAACAAAAAAGAACAATTTGTCTACTCTTGGGTTCCCTCTGCATGTGAACTGTTTGGCTAAACAGTGGCATAAGAAGTATGTGAGTACTTCTTTCTCCTTGTTCTGCTGATGTAGTGACAATGGGAGGATTATTTCTTAATTTCCAGTGTGGTAAGTGGGTAATTATTGTCCAATTAGACTTGCTATTAACCTCTCTGTATCTCATTTTGCTGTCCATGAAACAAAAATAACAGCACTTACCACTCTCACTGGGATATTGTGGAGATTTATTTGTTAATGTACGTACAGCACAAGGAAAATGAAAAGCAATGCATGTTGGCTAAGCAGAGTTATTAATAACGAGTCACTGTTAGCGTTGTTAGCGCTGTTACAGCTTCAGAAACTTGCTGTGTGAGTTGCAGCCTGGCAATAGGGCACACCCAGCAGCAGTATGCACTAACACGCAAACACCCTCAGATATCAGTAAGGAAAAAAGAAACATGACGTGAGTTAAGATAACATCAGCCACAATTTCAGCCAAATGTTTTCTGACCTCCTGGCAGCCAGCAGCGATGGACAGGGAAGGTCCCAGCTCTCTCCAGAAGATGCAGTGATACCAGCCCCCCCAGCACCAGCTGGCTACTCTGCACTGTAGCTAAAGGAAAACTCAAAAATAAATCATCACAGTGTTTGCCAAGAGATTGCAGCCCATACTGCAATCCCTGAAGGGGAAGAACTCCCAGCCCCAAAAGGCGCCTGCTGCCTCCTTGGAGCCTCCCAGCCCAGGCAGCCCCTCAGCCCAGGAAGCTGTGGCATGGGCCTAGGTTGGAGATGCTGTAGGTCAGCGATGCCATGCAACGTGCTCTTTGCAGCATCCGAAAACCAGTTTTCTGCTATGGCAGTGAAACACCTGTGCCCAGTGCTGCTGGTCAGGCAGGGACTGACCTACCGGTGTGCTGGGCACAGCCACGGCCTCCATCACTTGTTGAGATTTCTGTGCTGCAGCACGAGCTTCAGCTGCTGTCTGAGAAACTATGACACTACATCAGTCAGGGATAATTTAATTAAAGACTATACGAGCTGATGCATGCGAGCACAACAGTAACGAGCGTATTTTATCCGCTAAGGAGCAAAGACATTTTCAGAAATGTTCTTTCTTCAGATCACTTCTCATTTAAACATTTGGATACTTTCCAGTGGTTCGCTGCTGCTCCTTCTCCCATCTGTCCCACTAAGAAATACAAAACACTGTGTGCATATACGTGTGCACGTACACCCCCACATGTAAACCCCAGTGGCATTAAGCCTCCAGCCACGCCACCAGGGCACTGCCAGGCAGGGCACAAGGCTGTGGGGGGAGCAGGGGCCAGCAGCTGGCCGTGCCGCCCAGCCCCAGCACCAAGGCAGGCGGCTTTACCTGGAATGCTCCGGGCTCTGTGCCAGAGCTGTGGCCACTAATTAACAGTTCAGTGTCTTATTCCTTCCCACATGCTGTGAGAAGACAAAACTCCAACTAGCCATGCAAACACCAATGCTGTATTTTCTCTATGAATAAAAATAGAAAAGATAAATATTACCCGGGGCTACCATCAGCTCTGCCTAGACCAAAGAGAGGAATTGATCTGACCCTCGGTCCGGAGCCTGCTGTCTAACGAAAAGCGGTGACTAAATAACTCCCCTCTTGCAATTATCCTACCAACAAATCAGTGCCAGCACAAAGACGTATCGACGCAGAACTGAAGTGTGATCACTTCTCCAGCACAGGAGATTAATCTGGTGACGCATATAGGCGTAGCAATAACGTGCTAATGAGTTATTGATTTTTTTAATTAAACTTTACTAGTATCATATTTTCAATCTAAATGAATGCATCATTAACGTAATTAATAGCATAGCGATAACGAGAACAGCCTGAGATTGCAATTAATCCGTCCTCCGTAGCCACCTACAGGTAGAGCAGGAGGTCTCTGGACCCCGTCACTGCTGCCAGACACCCGGGCTCAGCTGCAGCCACCCGTAAGCGGGCAGCAGACCTTTTAGTGGAACCACAGACCCATCACTCTTGGGTTGTTGGGGTTTTTCTGTTCTATGCTGTTCCCAAATCCTGGCCCATGCTCACAGCCCTGGCTGCAGGACCACGCTCCTGCCCCCAGCCCATCCCTCCCCAGCTCAGAGCGAGCAGTCCTCCCTCGCGAGCAGGGCACGGACACTCAGGCAGCTGCCTTCCTCCTGCTGACCATTCACGTTTGAAGACATCCTTGCTAAGCCAGCATGTAGTTACCCCTTTCTCCCTCTAACATACACTAAAATAAGCCTTTTTTTTTTTTTTTGATTTAAATGACTTTTGCAAACAGACAAAACTACTTACAGAACGGTTGCCTTTTAGAGGAAATCCCAGCCCACCTCCCCTCTTGCTATCATTCTTGTCACTACTTTTTCTTCCTCCCAACAGCAAAGTCAAACAAGTGGCCCAAAGCTTTTGTCAACCCTGCCTAGAGAGGGAAATCTGCGTTTGCGTGCATGAAGAGCCCTCACCGTAAGGGAGACCTCCATCTCCTGGTTGCCCATGCTCATCAGTTTCTAGCTCTTCCACAGATTTAACATTTGTGGAAACTATCTAAAACCTCACTGGCTATTTTTAGCTTGGCTTGAAGTGATTTTTGTAGTCATATCAGTCTGTGGCAACTGTAGGTGAATCTGCCATCATGGTAATGATTGTGGCTTTTTATTTTATTTTAAGGTTTGTTCTGACCTTTTCACCCTGACAGAGCAGTACCCTAAGGCATTTTGAAATGCTTCTGCTATCAGCCAAAGAAACAAACGTCTTAGCCCTGCTGTCTAGCCCTCATTCAGCTATTTCATAGCCTGCCCCATCTTCTTGATGAAGACATTGGACTTCCCGTGCCACGTAGCAGTATTTAACATGCTGCAGAACCTTATAATTACACTAATCTGACCCTGGCGAAGCTGGCAGGTCCCAGGAGAGGGGGGTACAAATGAGCAGGGAACCCGAGGGGCAGGATGCACAGAGGTTCATTTAAAACTCACCTTAAGAGCTCCTTTACCAGTGGTAACTTTAATATCTTTATTTCTTTCTTGGGGAAAAACAAAACTGTTGTCCTATTTTGAAGCAAGTGCTTCCTTTAAGGTTAATTAAGCTGACAAATAACACTTCCAAAGACTGAGCAGTTTAACTGATCGCAATGCAGTGATGCTGGGACCCTGGAGAGGGCCAATTACTGCTGTGCACAGCTGGGAAAATTCCTTGTGCCCCCTCTGTACTAGGACATTGAGTGAGAGAAAAATAACACCGCATTAATCTTCCTAATGAACCTCTTCTAAATGAGATAATTCAAAATTTTATGGTACACATGAGTGTGTTGTGGAGATTTGCCAAGCTACCTACCAACCTATGACTCAAAGTGCACAAAATCAGAAATCGTCAGACAGCAAGACACTCAGCAAGCCCACTTGTGGTCTTCCTCTCCTTCACATTTCAGTTACATTAGCTTAACACTGGGGGAATGGCCAGACAAGCCTTTGGAGAGACAGATTTACTCTGTGTGATTATGGGAGAGAGGATGCCACGTAGCATGAAGTGGGGAAGACGAGCACTGTGAGTCAGGAGCTGGGGTCTCTGCCGGCACTGCACACCCCCAGGAAAATCCTTCCCTTCCTGCTCACCTTGCCAATACTCAAGGAGCAAACAGGAGTGCCACTGCAAGGTAGGTGCATGGTAAATGTTTAAAATCGTAGCTCCCCTTGATGCAGACCAGGTAATGTTCTGCAGTCTGGGGACAGCCTTATTCCTATTCCACAGGCAAAAGCACTGAGCAATCACAGATGGTGTCACTGCGGTTCAAATGGCTCTCATGGATTTCTTGTGGTCCGTTGTGCCCCTAAATCATATACATTTAGATTTGCATATTAAGCTTCCTGACAATCTAGGTGGTCTCATGGGAACAGATAAGGATAAAGCGGCATGAAGTTATGCTTCTTTTTTGTTTTTCTGTAATGGAAATACAGCTATTATCAGAACAACACGACATTAAGTAAATGATAGTATTGCAAATATCCACCAATTTCCATAATGCTTCAATGGTGCATTTCCATAATTTCATACACTCCTCTTTTTCCTTTTTACTTAATGCTGTTTCTTTCAGATGAGCTTGGAGCCCATGATTATTTCTGCATGCTGGAGACATCAGCAAACGGAGCAGAGGTGAAAAAGCCCACCTCCAAGCTCCATGCCAGCCAGCAGCTTTATCTTAAAATCTGAAATTGAGGCCGTTCTGCTGAACTCATCCACCAGCTGCTCGCCTGTGTGTGCCAAAGCACTGCCCCTTCTCTGTAATTTACTGTAGCCTGTGAATTATTTCATTCTGTGAATTTCCAATTTATTTCCAATTTGTGCACACGCTTGGCAGCACTACCAGTGCCCAGGGACCGCTCCGCGTGGTGGCCAGGAGCCCCCCATTCAGGCTCCCAGAGCTGCTGCTGCTCTCCCGGCTCCAGGCTGGTGCACGAGCAGTGCTGGGGGGCAGAAGGCATGGGGCTTGTCCTGCAGGGCTCAGGCAGCATCCCCAGAACATGGCTTGGGCTGAGGTGATGGCACTGCAAGCAGCTGCCAGGAGTGGCACTGGCTCCGGACCCTCAGCAGCTAACACGGTGACCCTGTGCATTAAGCACTTCACCAGCAGGCAGGGAGCTTCTGATGGGGCCTGGGCGATCCTGCAGAAAAGGCACAGGGCATGCAGGGCATGGTTCGGCAGAAAGCAAGGAGCCACTCCAGGTGAGTAAAGTCATCACTGACATTATCTGAGATACTCAGGCTTTATATGGGGCATCTCATGGAAAGTCCTCAGCAGCAGCCCAGATCTTCGGTCCATGCAGGAGTCTCGTAACCACAGACTGCCTTCTGCGATCTCATCTGAAGGTTCAAGACATGAAATTAAGTTACCACTTATTTTGCCTAAAAGCTAGCACTAGAGGCACTAGCTCAGAAAAGCACGTAGTCGTGTGGAAATTTAAGCCTGCTTGTTTAGTCTTCTACTTCTTTGAAACTGCTTCCCCAAATGAGGGCTCCCTGAATTTCAGGATGAGCAGCCCTGGATCTGCTGCATCTTCCACTGAACAGAGGCTCAGGGAACAACGCCCTGACTTGCAACAGGTGACAAATTCCAATCAATTCCTTGTCAGCTAATGTACAAGCAACTCATATCTACCTTACTGCCCTGATCAAACGTACTCAAAATTCATTGTGTTGCTTATTTTCTCTTTTTCTAATCACTCACAAGGCAAGATTTGTCTTCCCTAATTGAAAATCAGTGCAAGCAATTCCATGGTGTGCTTTTCCTCAGTGTGTAAATCTCAGTCAGTAACTAGAAATTGTGGTAAATGCAGCCTCAGCATTCACCTTCTGTGAATGTTTTGCAAGTGAAGTTTCTTCAAACATTACAGAGTAAACCCAATCTATAAGGGGAAAGATAATTCATCTGATGAGTCAGGCTCACATTCCAGACTTCCTTCTCCCATAAATATTCATCCTCATTTATTGTACAGAGTTGTATGAACGAGGAATGCGCTTTACTGACACCTCTATGACACTGGTGAGGGTAACTTGCCAACATGTTCCCTTGTTAGGTGAGTATTGCCTGAAGAGTTAGGTGAGTATTGCCTATACACTATGAAAAAGCCTGAGCATCTCACCCAGATGATGCTTCAGAGCTGGCAGCCTTGGGCAAGGTGAAGGTCAGTACCCATCTTCCATTTACTGTTGTTTGTATTCCCAAAAAGCCCGTGACGTGCTAACCAGGCACGAGGCTAGAACTGGTATCAGAAATATTTTGAACAAGGACTTTGTACTAGAATTTCATTTCAGATACAAATGTCTAACATTCCGTGATGGCTTTTTAGCTGTTAGGGACACCACACCACCAGCCTCTTCAGGCTCTGCATTTCAGACAAAGGCAATAAGCTATCAACTAACCCGCAGCAATGCCGAGCGCTGTTTCTGATTCTGTTTGTTTGCAAGTTCACACTTCCCAGCAGAAGCTCAGGCCATGCCAGTACAAGTAACTTAAGGAAACAAGGGAGGAATACCAGTTAAATACTGACATTTGCCCATATACATGTTACTGTCATCTTCACTGTTCCAGTCTATATCAAGCTATTACTTCCATACAGATAAACTGCAAGCCATTAACCTATATTTTGATTTTGACCTAGAAGCACGCTAACTACATGGATTAGACATCACTTAAACATTCAAACCTTTGTTCAAGCTTTTACTCTTTTCTATGATATTTCACAGAGAGCAGTGCAGAGACCAATGCTGGGGAGAAACTTGCTTTTGGTCTGCATTCATTTTCCAGTCCCAAAGTGGCACTACCAGTCACCGATGTCCAGGCTGTCACTTTTACTGATGAATTCAGTCTGTTCAATATTTCCTTCCCCCTCCTTGCCCTCCTCTAGCATAATCTTGTTATCTTTGGGCTTTGCATGGTTTTTTAATTATCATTATTATTTATATAGCATGATGCATGCAGACAAATTTAATCATGTTGTTTACATGAGCTAACCTGATAGACTAATGGAAAAATTAAGCATTTTGTTCCCACTGTTGGCACAAACACAATTTCTTTTCTCACTCATTAACACAGTTAGTGTTTATAAAATCTGATGGTGCTGGAGATGGAAGTCTGTTTTCTCCAAAGAACAAGTATACCATAAAGAAATAACAGAAATTCCTCCCACCCTAATCTCCCTATGAATGTTGCAATCCCATTATGGAATAATTAGGCAAAGGAGACAGTGAATCAAGTCTGGAAAAATGAAACACCATGAGGAGCTATTGGAAATCTCAGGTAAAGGCATTGGAAAAAATGAGGAAATTACTCAAAATGGCATACAGAACTTCAGACAAAATGTGGAACCCAATCATCCTGTAAAAATAAAACAATACTAAAAAGAGGTGATAGCTAGAATAAACGTTCAGAAGAGTATGAAACAGAAGATCACAGAAGAGCAATCTAGATGCTGGGTTAGGAAAAAATAACTAAAGTTTGAACAAAGTAAAAAGCCAATAATGGGCAAAGAAAATGAAAGAAGAACAAAACCTGAAGTTATTCTTGCTGTCCTACAAAGTTGCAAGAGATCTCTTGCTGCTTCAACAGATGAGTCTAAAATTGTTCTCTGCCAACAGGAGCCATGGGCTGTGTTTGCTTCACCAGCCCTGGTGAAGAGGCACACCAGGATGCAGCACTACACGTGCTTAATGGGAGCATGCCCTGAGCAGGCAGAGTGCAGCCCATGTGCCTTGTGCAGAGATGCTTCCTCTCCCACCCCAGAGAGTTTCTGGCCAACTCTCACACCATTTACCAGTTAATTCTGCTAATGAAAAGACCCCAAGGAAATTGGAGCCAAAAATGAAGCAGCACTGGAAAGACCCTTCCCCCGTTATTTCAATGTATTTGTTGAAGATGCCTTACAATTTTTGATTCCAAAGGTCTGTTCAGTCATCAGAAACTGAGGGCAGGCTGTTACCACATGTAGGTCAGCGCTGGCTTCAGCATCGCCCTGGCCTCTCCAGCAGCAGGCAGCCAGGGGTCCCACCTTCCCACAGCATCCCCCCCCCACCCCCCCCCCGCAGGAAACAATGGCTCTAGCTTTTAATATGTGTGTGCTGTACATCATGGGCTGGAAGGCATGGCTTTGACAAGTGCTTACATTTCTATATGTTTACAAACTTTCATTGGAAATCTTTTGAACTGAGTTTTTACATCAATTCTCTGGTGAAACATCAAGAGAAGGCTTTGCCTAACTTGTAAAACTGAGTACAGAAAAAGAACTTCTCCAAAATTGGCCATGCAGAAAATCTCATTAGTGCACAGATTTCCAAATCTACAAGGTATCTGCCTAGCTTCATCCCTTTGCTATCTGTACAATGATGGAATAATTAAGCAGTTCTACTGGTTCGCTAGAAAGAGAAATACATGAGTACTCCAGCAAAAATAAAGCTGACTGCAATATGGCAGTAACTGGAGAACAATTAACTATCAGCAGCACAAGTTCTTCGTGTGCTTCTGTAACCTTGTGTCATTTCATTTGCCTATCATTTAAGCAAAGGCAGTGAAGACCTTAGAATTAGACATCAGTTCCAGAAATACGATCACATCCAGACACTTGGACACAGCTGAGGTCAAGAAAAGCTTGGCCACAGTGGTGGCTGCAGAGATGTTGGCAAGCTGGTGCCATGGTGTGGTGAGAGCAGTTAATGGAAGTCCACCCAGCACGGTCATATGGTAACACATAGAATTAGGTTGCTGATTACATATTTAGGATAAGCTTAATTTTGCAGAACACATACGTAGTCCCTGAAAATTTAGTTTTCAAGAGGGTTGGCAATAAACTGCATTGGCAACATTGGTTGCTAATTCAAAGGCTAGCTGGCAGCCAGTAATGCAGTTAGGTTTTCCTCCCATAAGGAGTTTCCAGCTCTTTCAGGAAAGCACACAATGCAAGTGAAAAGTCTGATTTTGAACAAATAGCAAACTTTCCTTGGTGACAAGCAGACCTAGCAGAAAACCTTTTAAATGAAAATAACCACCTCTATGATGAAGCAAATCATAATAGCATGAGGGGATATAATCCAGTTTGAAAGAGTGTTTCAAACTGGGTGTGGATTAGCTTCTCATCTCAAGGTTATTTCAGCTGGGTGATGTTAGAAGTAGCAGCAGGTGATAGAGAATAGCTTTTTGTTGGATTATCACACTCAGATACCTAGGTCACATAATGAAAGTTTCCCTGAGCAGCTCTAATTAGGCACCCATTGTTTACCATATGTTTCAATTTTGCAAGGACAAACATAGGCAGAGATTGCTCGCTGGGCACAGATTGCCTTTGCTGTTCCAAGGCACCCTCTGGAGACTGCCCGGAGTACTTGGCAGGCCTCCGGCACCACGTCTCTTCACACAGGAGCTCAACAACCTCGCGAGGTGGCAATTGAGAAGGAATGTTACTGTATGAATCTGTCAGAGATTTCCATTAGGTGCATACCCATTCTGTCAATGCCTGTGCCAGCATTCAGATACTAATGCAGGCTTTAAGAACAGTACAGTATCACTTCAAGGATAATGAAGTTTCATAAGGAGAAAGAATTTTTGCTTTAAAGGCCTAAAAACAGTGAGACAATTTTCAGGCCAGCTGTGACTCATCTGCTTTGTAAAAGTCCAGGTTGTGAGTTTCAGTTGCTGTCTTTTGACAGCCACAATTGTGTTGAATGGATTTTGTTACATTTCTGCAATTTTTGCATTAGATTCTATTTAAAAGAAGACATGAGGAGGGTTTTGCCTACCTGAAACCACATGGAGTGGAAGACTCCTGCATAATGGCTTTTAATCCAAGCCTACGTAAATTTTAGACTGGATGATCTATGACATAATGAGATCTGTCAAGCACAAGTCATCTCACTGTAGCTGAAATATGAATAGACATTCACATTACCTAGCATACAGCAGATAGATATTGCTATTAGAGAAGAGAGGGAAGAGGTGACAAAAATGTCCCATTCACGGTGAGCAGTGGTCACATTTCATTGTAATGTGAACAGGAGCCATTTGGCACTTTAATCAACGCAGCATCTCCCACACTGAGACCAGATAACGGTGGGAAAAGGGGCTGCCAGATGACTTGTACTTTTCTGTGCATCTCCTGTTGAGAATTGTTTTGTGATGCTGAAAGCAGAGGTGCATGTGGAGGGGTGAGGAGAGAATAACCCCCAAACAGTATCTGTCCTACCTACTTCTGGTTACTGCTTTAGTGCCTAATAGCTACTCTAAGTGACAAATGGCATTCATTTCACTACCCTGCCTTGAAAAGCTGTCCTCTATTCCGCCTTCATTGATAACCTGAGCATATGATTCAGTCTGT